GTGGCTGGCGCCTTAGCCCGTTGAGCTATAGGCGCCGAGCCTACATAATGGTTTTGAGGCATCCCTTCCCATTTGTTATTGATTTCTTGGGTATACAGTGGTGTCCAGGTTCCTTGTCTCTTTTACCATGGGGTTCCCATGTACCTCCCCATTTCTGGCTTCCTTTCCTAGGCTTCATAGCTGTCCTAAGGTCCCCTGGACATTCTTCCATGTTGATGCTATCTTCATGCTTCCCTTTCTTCTGCAGACGTGGGAGCAGAGCCAAAGCCCTTGCTGAGAGGGGGCTATGGAGACAGGAAATGCAGTCTGGCCTGGGTTACCCAAACTGCCCAGGAGGAACAGGTAGAGCCATCCTGGCCTGAAAAGGCCACAGAAGGAAGGCAGAGATAGGGACAAAGGCTCAGGTAGAGAGCATGGAGTCTGCTGACAGGGCTGACACTGCTGAGTTGGGAGGGACAGGAAGGAGGATGGAGCTGGAGTTGAGGACTGCCAAGGCTCCTGCCAGGGAGGCCAAGCTGCAGTGGGGATGCAGGTGGGGTGTTCCCCCTTCCCAGGGCCCACTGGTGAGGGAACAGTCTGAGTACCCAGGGCAAGGAAGGTGTGGGCCAGAGCTTGCTTACCCAGTGGCTCTTCTCACCAGGGTCTCCCTTAGGGCCAGGTTCTCCCTGAAAGGAGAGACAAAGATAGAAGCAGTAAGGAAGGGAAGGAGAGAGCAGGGAAGAAGAGAGCAGGGAAGAAGAGAAGGAGAGAGACTTAGAGAAACAGAGACAGAGAGTAGCTTATATCAGACTAATGTAAGATAAAAAGGAGAAAAATTACTTGAAGGCAATGTAAAGTTATAAAGAGCAGCCAGAAACTGGAGGATATTCAATCCTTTAAAGAAGGGAACTGCATTGGTTAAAAATCCATGTATTTACGGCTTTTCCTCAGAGGGCACAACCTAACCCTCAGCCTGGGAAACAGAGCTCAAGCAGAAAGTTTCAGTTTTATTGGCCTGAGGAATCAACTAGAGTTGGGGTTACCTAAGAAACAGAAAATTGAGAGGAAACACTAGAAAACAAAGTCAGATTGGCAGAACAAAATATGCATAAATGTTCTTCTCTAATCATTGGATGATCCCTAAACAGTCTGGCCACTGGGCGGGGGGAATCACTCCAAGGAGCCCAGGGGGAAAACAACAGGTTGGTGAACCTGAGAACAGATTTCAAAAATTTCCTACTATAGAGGATACAGACTTGGGAGTTCAAGTCCAACCAAGTTAGAGTGGTTTATTAATATCTAAGGCTTTCTTTTCTTTTTTTAGAGACAGAGTCTCACTTTATTGCCCTCAGTAGAGTGCCATGGCATCACAGCTCACAGCAACCTCCAACTCCTGGGCT